TACAGGGCCCAGCTCCAGAGTCCTTTGGTCAAGGGAGCACAGACCACTTGGCCTGACTCCTAGGAATTTTCCAGAAAGTGGGGAGCCAATTTGGGAAGCATACCTTGAACCCATCCCTGGCAAGAGGAAGCAAAGAATGGCGGTGGCACTCATAGAAGACCTGAATTGCCACCTTATTGTTTTGGGATCAGTTGTCACAGTTAAGTGGCAGCCAGTCGTCGCCTTATTGCCAGTGTCAGAGGAAATCACTCTCCCTTTGCCTCGCTCCCAGGCGACACTAGTATTTCTCAGTTCCGGCTGTCTGCCCTGATCCCACATCACAGCAGGGAGAAGGGCGAGTGCTGTCAGCTGCAGATGAGATTCTGGCCTGAAAGGAGAGCAGGTGGAGGAAGGAAGCCCATGCCATCAAGGGAAGCTTGAGGGCAAATACAGCTCTTTCCCAACCAGTGCAACAAGTCTTGCTACAAGACTCTCAAATATTGGTCCTTGTTTAAAGATACCCAGACTCTGCCCTAGAGAGTCTGATTCATCAGGTTTGAGCAAGCAAGCACCTAGGAATCTGTGTTTGTTAATGTTCCTGGTTTAGGAATCACAAGACTGATATATTGATACGTTAAAATGACAGGGTGAGTTTGGGGTAGTCTGGACTGGGACGTTGTCATTAGGGCTTCACCATATCCCACTAACTTTGTTCCTTAGCTTCAATAATACATCGGTAAAGGACCCCAAAACTTTAGTCTGAATTTACTCCTGCTTTGTTAGATTTTGTTTTTAAGTAAAATTGTTTACCCTGCCATTCTTTTACTGCCAAATAATAAACCTTAACAGAGATCTCTTTTTCATAAGGCACTAAAACTGAAATCCATTGTGAGAGGTGATGCTCCATCAAGTTTGGCAGCTTCAGGGATCTGTAAAAAAGAGGTAAGTCCATGATACTTTCAAACTGAACTGTAAGTGTCCTTTGTCATCCCTGTAATTTTTGAGATTCTTGGGAAAAGGTTTGGGGACAAAAAGAAGAGCTTGTCTACTTCAGACTCCTAAGGTGAGGCCCTGGGTAAGGTTGAGTAGTAGCCTTTGTATTCCACAATACACAGGTGCCTTTGCCTGCTTAACTGGGGCCGAGCTGCTGGAGCAGACCTGCTCAGGTCCCCCAGTGCCTCTCAAGCTTCATGTACATACAGAGCACATAGACAGCTTGCCCAAATGCACTTTAGTCCCAGAGGTCTGGGATGGGGTCAGGCACTGAGCTGCTGACAAGCTTGTGTGTGGTTGCTGCACTGCTGAGCACAGATGCGCTTTAAACGGATCTTGAGCCGTGTTTCTCACTTTCGTGTCTGTTAGAGCCACTCGGTAGTTTCTGATTCAGTAGGTTTGGTGGGTGGGGCCCGAAACTTTGCATTTCTCTTTTTTTGGAGACAATCTATAACTCTAACTCTGTTGCCCCAGACTAGAGTGGCATCAGCCTAGCTCACAGCAACCTCAAACTCCTGGGTTCAGGCAATCCTCCTGCCACAGCCTCCCTAGTGGCTCAGACCATCACAAGGCCCTACTAATTTTTTCTATTTTTTTAGTAGAGACAGGGTCTTACTCTCGCTCAGGCTGGTCTTAAATTCCTGAACTCAAGCAATCCATCCACTTTGGTGTCCCAGAGTGCTAGGGTTGCAGGCATGAGCCAAAAAGTTTGCATTTCTAACAAGTTCCCAGCTGATGCCGAGGCTAGGGGTCAAAGGACCACAGTTGAAAAACCACTGCTTAATCTACAAGTCACTCAGCCAGCCAAGAATGTGTGGCCTGTCTATCTACTTCCTGTTTCTATTTTCCATGGGAAAAAAACTTAAGTGATAAGACTAGAACAGAAAAAAATAAACAAGTTGCAGTATGAACTTGTTATACACGTGGTTTTGAATTGTAAAACAATACCCCGTGTACTTAATTACATCTATGTTCAGAATATGTAAAAGTTAGTTAAATGGGACAGATTCACAAATGGCACATCACTAGAGAAGGAAAAGAATTAAGAATAACTTACTTTAGTGATAAGGATGTAGAAGATGTGAGCCTACGTGCCTTGGAGTCTGGTTTCGGGGAAAATCATGGGCTCAAAATACAATTAACCTTAAAAGCCACACCCAGTTTAAGTCTGATGGCAAAGCGGCCTTTCCCGAGGTTGAAGAAATTCCCTATTGTCTGCTTATTCCTGTGCACAGTAGGAATTTGCAGTATTTCCAAGCACTTTATAAAAACCAGATTCCAGTAAGATTTAATAACATTCTTAACAAGAAATTCTTAGGTCTACATTAAAAACAAATGTCTGTGGAACCATAACTTGTTCATAAGTGATCGACAAAGAGCAAGGTTCCATTGCTAGGGTTCAGTCCATGAGCACCCAGTGAGCCACAGGCCACACTTGGAGAAATACTGGAGAGTCTTCTGTTTCCACAGCCCTGGGCTTTGTCACCCTCATTGGCATCCATATTTATTCAGAAGAGCTATGCTAATGTGGTCAGAGAGTCTGCACCTGGATAGGAGCCTGGAGACCGTGTTCTTACCCTGCAGAATCTACACTGAGCCTCCCACATGGCAAAGAAGGGTCTGGGGCCATGGTGAACTCCATCAGTCCTCAGGCCAGAGCTACTGTGGAGCTGGGTCTGAGTTTGTCACTGACACTTCATGCAGACCCCACATAATTACCAGCACCTTGACTTGGCACCCATGGCTCAAGCAGCTGCTAAGGCACCAGCCACATACACCTGAGCTGGCGGGTTCGAATCTAGCCTGGGCCCACCAAATAACAATGACAGCTGCAACCAAAAATTGCCGAACATTGTGGCAGGTGCCCGTAGTCCCAGCTACTTGGGAGGAGGAAGCAGGAGAATTGCTTGAGCCCAGCAGTTAGAGGTTGCTGTGAGCTATGATGCCATAGCACTCGCATAGGGTGAAAGCTTGAAGCTCTGTCTCAAAAAAAAAAAAAAAAATTACCAGCACCTCTGAGAACTCACAAAAGCAGTGGACACCCTAACACACCAGCCCATTAAAATGTAGAAATCGCATATCTGCACAGCATGTTGAATACAATTTCTGGGGTTTCACAGACCTCCACAGATCCTCACTGACCCTTGGATCTTCTGGGGAAGAAGCCTTTTCTGCACTGGTATTCCACACTTGTGTCCGCTGGTCAGAGAACATGATGTTCCTAAGAACTGGTTGTTCTGTCTTGGTCTTACCAAATGCTGGTGTCTGCATCTGTCTCCCTGTTTTTGTTTTTGTTTTTATTAAATCATAGCTGTGTACATTAATACTATCATGGGGTACAGTGTGTTGTTTCTATATACAGTTTGAAATACTTTCATCCAACTGGTTAACACAGCCTTCATGTCATTTTCTTAGTTATTGTGTTAAGACATTTATATTCTACATTTAGAAAGACTCACATGTACCCCCATAGGATAAACCATAGGTGTGATCCCACCAATTGTCTCCCTGTTAATGTTTATATTACCTTTGCTTTTTTATACCCTCTTGGTGTAAGTCACAAACTCAGAATTGCCAGAAATCTTCTTGGGGAAATTCCATTTCAATTATGGATGTAATGACTTGTACTTGTACTTTTTTGATTATAAAATGTTTTCACATTGTTTAGTGATGTTTTCAGAGCAGTACAAATACAATTTTCGCAGTTAGAATATTCTTTTTGAGGCTCGTGGGTTTCCTCAAGAGAAAGCATTAATGCACACAGCATTTACCCTCAAGCCCTGAGGACACCTTGAGGGTGGTCCACAGAGCCTTTCCCTTCTACTGTGAGGGTGACGATGTATTCCTGGTACCTAGGAACACACCCACACGTGTACTCATGGGCTCCTCGGCAGCACCACATGGGACAATGTCAGCCCTGTGTCTGGTAGTAAAAGTGAAAGTGTCCAAGGCTCGCTCAGTGTGTCCTCAAGAATCTCTACAAACTTCCTTTCTCCTTTGATGCTACGCCAGGTGCTTTGCAGGGAAGTGAATGATTCTATTGGAAATGTCCACCATTCTGGTGTGACAGTGATCCCACTGACTCCACGTCTCCACGCATAGCTCTGGGGCCACTGTGAGGGAGACATTGTTCTTTACGCCTGCGATGAAAATAAAACTGAGGCTCAGGAAAGAGTTCACGTGGTGTAGATATGTCATGCGGGAGAACCTCAGAAGTCTTGTTGGCACATTCCACAAACAGATATTATATTTTCTTTAAGATTTTACAGGCTTATGTGGGTTGATTAGCATTTTCATTTTAAGACAGTATCAACCTCTTAATGCATTGTGTATGGTTTAATAATTAGCTGAATCAGCAACACAGGAATATGACTTTTTAATAGAATTATGTGGGACTTCCGTAAATTCTCTAAAATATAGGCACCATTTGGTTCAACTCCCAGGTGTTAAAGAAAAATCGTTACTTAAAAACATTACCATGCTTCAGTGACCCCCAAGGAACATTATTATAACATGGAGACAGGTCATGGTGCCGAAAACATGTGAATTCACTCTTTTCCTATTGCATACGTATTTGAAAGCAAAGCTTTTCTTCTTAAGAAAGGTCACTGAGTGTGTGCCTGTGGCTCAGTGAGTAGGGCGCTGGCCCCATATACTGAGGGTGGTGGGTTCGAACCCAGCCCCGGGCCAAATTGCAATAAAAAAAAAAAAATAGCCCGGCGTTGTGGCTGGTGCCTATAGTCTCAGCAACTTGAGAGGCTGAGGCAAGAGAATCGCCTAAGCCCAAAAGCTGGAGGTTGCTGTGAGCTGTGACGCATAGCACTCTACAGAAGGCGACAAAGTGAGACTCTGTCTCTGAAAAAAAAAAAAAAGAAAAAAAAAAAGGTCACTGAATCCAGACCCTGGGGTTTGGAGTCACTCTGCTCCCACAGGGGTCTCTGTGTTACTGCTTCAGGTGTAGTACTGTGCCTTTCCATGTGATGGCTGCAGTGTATTTTTTCTGGTGCACTTATTTTCCGATGCTTGTATTGCCTCGCAGCCTTGGGAGCCCCAGTGTTTCTGCAGTAATTTCCCTCACGAAGCCGTGTGTGCAGATCCCTGGGGCCAGGCCTTGCTGGTTTCCACTGATGCTGGCGTCTTGCTAGTGGATGGTTAGTGAGTAGCTGCTCCTACAAATGTCTCTTTCGTGTAACATGTAGTACTTCTAAGATGCATAACTGCTAATCAACTCCCTTTGGACCTTCTATGTGTGATCTGCAGAGAGGTTAGCAAAGTTTCATTTCCTTACAAAATTAAACCCTTGTTTTCAGGCCAAGCAGAGGAAATACATTCTGAACCAACCATGCTAGAGGGTGGCCTGAAATCTCTGATTAGTCTGTGGATATCAAAAGAGCTACAAAAAGAATACCTTTTTCTACCAATACTTACCAGGGTTCCAGCATTTTACTTTAAGTCAACAAGGATACATTATTTACAGCCACTATTTCAGAGACATGCTCTCTCTTGGAGTCTTTAAAAAAAAAAAAAGATTTCTGATTCAAAAAATACTTGGTGTCCAAAACAAACAAGAATCTTAGATAACCCATTTTTGATGGATATAGAAACAAAAAGATTTTGACAAGGAGACAGATTTCAACTCAATATAAAATCACACTTTTTGACAGCCAAGTAGATCAGCCTGCCTCAGGAGGTAGTAAGTCCCCTTTCAGCACACGTCAGCCACCACTGGCCGTGCCCTTGGCAAGGACGCCACAGACTAGTAGAGCGATTGCGACTTCAGTTGGGGGTGTGGACTGAAGGACTGTATGGTCCTCTCCAGCGGAGGCCCCTGGGATTCTTGGAATATTCCATGCCACTAATGAATGACAACACAGCTAAACACAGGTAGCAGGTTGTCTCCTGGGGCTTCAGAGGGAGGTACAGAGACAGTGTCCTCAAAGGGCACATCTGTTTCAGCTGCACATAAACAGCTGCCCTGTCTCCAGTTACCATAGTGACGTTTTATGAGCATTCTAAAGCCACCACTGTGAGCATGACAGAGCAGCCTAAAACTACAGCATCTGACCACCCTTCAGCACAGCCCGTCCTCCCTCCCCGAGACCCTTACTCAGCACATTTACTAAGTGCCTGCTGTGTGCTGGACCTGGGCTGGGGGCCTTCTGTCATGCGACTGCAGAGGGGCGCCATGCTTTGTGACAGATCTGTTTCTGGCCTTGTCATGTTATTTTCTTTATATAATTTAATTGCATGCCCATAATGTCATTGTATCTATAACTCAATAAAGGACAGATACTTAAAATTCTTAAATTCATAATTTAAATCAAATAATTTTCAAAACTACAAAACAATTAGAAGCTCTTTATGATCTTGAAGACCTCCAGCTTTCTCTAAAGTGAGGGTGATTTTTTAAAAGCCTAGAAAATAGTTTATGACAATGAAACATGTTGAAATAGGGGTGAGGGGCTACAGGGCCTAAAGAAAGCTACCTATCTTAAAGGTTTATGTAGCATCAGGCACACAGTAGTAACTTATTAAATAGCAGCTGTCAGCTTCACTGGGTCCCCCTGAACTTGCTAAAAAGTAAAAGAATCCTTAGATTTTATCAAAAGTTCAACCAAAAAAATGAATTTATCTTTAAAAGAATAATAAAACTGACCTTAGAGGTTTAGTCTGGACTCTTAGTTTTATAAATGAAGAAACTGAGGCCTGAAGAAAAGATGAGACTTGCCCAGGATCTCACAGCTGGCTAGAGGCGCCTCTGGGACTAGAGCCCAAATATGGTTCTAGTCTAGCACTCTTTCCACTACACCAAGTACATTATATACGTGTTATGAAAATGAAATTGAACTGCACCAATGTTTTTGTCTTTACCTTAATGCAGATTTCCAAAAATATAGTCCTGGGCAAAAAAGCTATGAAAAATTTTGTGATTAAAAAAATATTAAATCCCTCCCATTTGCCTTTTTAGGAAAGAGAAAGCATGCTTCGGAGTGACTATTTCTAAGTTTGCCTCAAAGCAAAAAAATTCCATATCAGTTGCTTCTGTCTTTTTCTTAGTGTAGAATCCAAACCAAGATTATGAAGTCCCTTCCTGAAATTTTTATCATTATAGGTCTAAAATGTAATGAAGGTGTGAGATACAAGGATTATTGTGATTTTCTAGGAAATTCTTTCCTTCCAAATTTGAAGGAAGTCATTTTCCGAGGGTGGTAGCTGTGGACACCCACCAGCAGCTTAGCTTTATTACTCAGATTTTTTTTTCATGTCCCGATTATACAATGATCTCCCTGTTTGTTTTTGCTAAGAAGGAGAATAACCCTTGAGGCTTTCTTCATATTCCTTGTTATGCTTTTAAGCCGTAATTCTCTTATTATTTCTTTGCTGACTTCTTTCTTGTCTACACTTAATCATATTATGAATTGTTTCCATGGCTGAATCCGTCCATTTCGTTCCAGGCTGAGTTCCACTCTAGCCCATTAGCCTTTGCTCAATTTTATTAGACTTGCCCTAGAGAGTCGACTCCTTTCAAAGTCATTAAAAATCAAGACCTCCTGTATGCTAACCTAGTAAAATCTACTTTGAAAGGCAACTAAATACTAATTAAATGTGTTATCACCATGTGTTTGGGTTTTGCAAAAACAGAAAAGGTGGTTCTAAAAGATTGTTTCTTCATAAAGAGATTAGCAGAAGGAAACATTTATTAACAAACAGTCATTAAAGCCACATGCCCCTCTCATGTCCTTGCCTCCTCTTTATTCTTGTGCTTATATGAGCCTATTCAGCCACCAGAGAAAGATTTGATGGAGAATAAATGCTAACTTATTCTGTACACAGCGTGGCAGCTGCACAGAATACCTGTTTTCATGCATGATGAGGGGCCCTGTCATTGACTAATGCCTCAGTGCTGCTGCCCGTGGCCACGCCCCCCAGCCACGGGGCACAGTGTGCTGCTCTGTGGCCACACCACTCATGAGGAGCTCAGCTGTGTCCTTGTACAGACTTGGGCTTCACATGCTCAAGGTGTGACCTCACCCATGCACCTCAGGCTTGTTTGTTAAATGGGAATATTACAGATTCCTACCTAGTAAAGTCATTGGGACATTTAAATAACAAGCAAAATGTTAAGCAGTAGGGTCCGGCATGTGGTGATCCCTTAGCGTGTGTCATCTGTCATTGCTGTTATCCTACAAATGAAGTCATCGTAGTTATTTAGCCCAATATGATGACAAGTGTTAGAGTAATCATCCTGCGTTTTGAAAACTAAGTCTGCCCCAGCAGAAGTACAGAGATGCTGAGAATGAATTCCTTTGTGTAAAGCTCTGGGGTAGGGGAAGAAGTGGCTGATGTCATAAAATTTACCTTTGCCCCCACAATTAAGGGGAACAAGAGACTAGTCCCACATCTAACACAAACTTAGCAATTTGTGCTCTGACAAATCAAGGTTCTCAGGGGCCTACAGGAGCAGGAGGTCCCCTTCTGCCTGGAGGGCGGTTACTAATACTGATGGTGAAAACTCTGCTCCATCTGGGCACCATCCACGGAGAGATGAACTCCCAACTATGGTTGGATTTCTAGAAGATCCTTGCCCCAGGCAAGATCCTCAGGGCACCTTTCACCTAAAATATAAATACACAAAGCCAACCTTCATCAGAGACTCCAAGACGGGATGCAGGTGAGAGTGAGTGGGGCGCTCCTCCTGCTGGGAGCACACCATCCCAGACGTCCCTGCCCTGCCTGAGTCCACATCCAGCTCAGAGCAGCCCCTTTTGCTTATGGAACAGCCTTAATAATTCCCTTAGGCCCTTATGTCCTAGGGTCCTAGGTAATTGTTGGCAATTTATGATCCCAGTAAGTAGTCTCAAAAACAAATCCTGGCTTGGCGCCTGTGGCTCAA